GATTTCAGGACTCCATTTTGACCTAATTCTTCTTATTGAATGTTAATGTAGAGATTTTCCACTATATATATTTTCTTTTCGAAGTTCACAAAGAGCTGAATACGTTTTGACTATCATGTCTTTAAGAGTAGCTTTTATCTTCTTTTTGTAGCTGATCCTTCTTTTGTGAACTAGTAGTATTTCTATATGATGCTTACCTACTGCAGTACTGTACTGTGGCTATAACAAGGCTGTCTGGTGACATGGCAACAATTTCAATTTAAATTTGCTCTGTGCAGTTATTCTGAGGCTATTTCTTTTGTGTTGCAAACTTGCAATTAGTCTCTCGTTGACATCCCCTTTAATTTTTCAGCATATTAACTTACCTAGACAAAAAATAATTATACGAACAGAAGAATGTTCGACACATTTTGAGGAACTTGTTTTCTTGATAAATTCTACTATTGTATTTAGCATATTTCACCACATCAACTTATTTATCTCATCTGTCGTATTTTCTTTTTCATTTTATGCTCATGACTGATGATGGTTGTATCATCTGTATTTTGCNTATTTTGTTTCATCCTCAGATAAGCCAGCTTTAGAGGATTTACAGTGTTTCCTTGAGTTTCAAGTTCCTACACAGTGGGCACCATTATTCTGTGAGCTGCCTCTTAGGCATCAAAGAAGAGTGGCATCTTGCCCTGCATTGCAGTTCTGTTTATTCGGCCCAAAGATTTGTGTGAGCCCTACCCAGGTACTTATTCGTGTTGCTTTCTTAGCAATAAGATCCCTGCTTTTTTACAAGTATAAGAATAGTTGAAACTATATGTGCTTTTTAAACGAAATATTGGTCTGTCCGTGGCTTCTAATGCATTGGTTGGAATTGGATAGTGGAAACTCGAACATGGAAAAGTTTTTACCCATCCAAAAATCTTTTGGAGCAACCTTCTTTAAGTTACAACCATATACCTACTACTCATCTCTTTTAACTGATAGATGTCACTCTTCTGAAGATTGATGTACATGATGGCACCTGATGACCGATATGTTCTTCTAATTTGTAGGTTACAAGTGGTGAAAAGCCGGTCATTGGTTTGCGCTTGTATTTGGAAGGGAAAAAATTCAACCATTTAGCTATACATGTACAGCATCTTTCTAGTTTACCGAACATTATGACATCAAAATCTGCTAACCCAACCTTACGCAAGCCATGTCAGTGGCGAGGTTCCGATGATTATGAATCTAGTGACCAATTCTTAGAACCGGTCAGATGGCCGAGATATTCCAATGTGTGCTCATCTGTAGTTAAGCATGATCCAAGCTGGATGCAAGGCGAGACTAGTGGCGTATTTGTGGTAACTGGCGCACAGCTTATCAGCAAAGGGAAGTGGCCTAAGACGGTGCTTCACCTGCGTCTACTTTTCTCCCATCTTCCCAACTGCACAATACGAAAGACAGAGTGGGCAGCTACACCCGAGGGTACTCATAGGTCAAGTTTCTTGACAAATCTCAGCACAACTTTTACGTTCACTCAGCGAACAAAGGCAGATGCTGCACCAAAGCAGCATCCTGCTGCTCTTAATTCGGGAGTCTATCCAGAGGGACCCCCAGTACCAGTTCGATCAACAAAGCTGCTCAAGTATGTAGATACAGCTGAGGTTTCACGAGGGCCATATGACACTCCTGGACATTGGTTGGTAACCGCTGCGAAGCTTGTTACAGAGGGTGGTAAGATAGGTTTGCATGTGAAGTTTGCACTGTTAGATTTCTTAAATGAATCATAGTTTCTTTTGTGTACATATTCTGGGGTAGTTTTATCTTCCAATATCTTGATGATAGAGCATATTGTTTATCCAAGAAATGGCAAAAAGGGGCGGAAAATATTATAGATGTTGTATAGAAGCAATTAGTGAAATGAATGGATTTATTTTTTGATATATTTTCACCTTTTTTATTTCTTTCTGGATTTTCTCTAAAAAATTAAGACTTCCTAGATTATGAAGGTATAAATCTATTCAGTTCAGGGGAAATACTTACCCGCACCCGGCGATTAAATATTGGACACTTCGTTAAAAAAGAAATCCATGTAACACATTTTTGCTTCATTATAACAATAAAGTCACAAAACTTTGCCGATTGTAATAGTATATGCAAACAACAACAACTAAAATTCGAGTATAATCTCACAAGTGGGGTCTATGGAGAGTAGTGTGTACGCAGACCTTACCCCTGCCTTTAAGAAGGCAGAGAGGCCATTGGCTCAGGAAAGACAGAAGGAAGGAGCAACAACTGTAAGAGTATATGCAACAAGAATAATATTTAGCTGACAAAGCAGTACATAGATTATGGGTGAAACCTTAATCAACTTACATATGTCATTTCTTATAAGATACAAAGAATGAATAATAAACCAAATAGTACATATAATCAAAGACTGGAAATGCTAAGTCTACATAAATAAGTGTCATAATGAAGCCAACAGCAACAACAGCTATAATAAGCCACCAAACATCTTTGTTCAGGAATATATTCTCAAGATTAAGGGCTTGAAGGCAAGCTAGGATTGTAAATGCTGTGGCATAAAACACTGAAATAATAGCAATTATGATCTTTGTAGGCAAAGAAATGTAAAAATCATTGCTATAGAATTTGCAAAGAAGAAATGATAAAAGTGTACCCATTGTGAATACTGAACTAAAAAGAGCTGCACCTAAGTAAAACATCAGCATCCACAGTTCTTTCTGCACTTTGTCAAGGAGAATAGGTAGGCCAGTATTCTCTTCAAAACCTCCGGGGACTGTGAAAATCGCGGCGAAGTTGATGGTACAGAGGAGAGTAGAGAGTACAAGCATAGAATTTGATAGTTCTCTAACTGAAGTCTCTGCTTCTTTTCTTACACGTAAATGGTTTTTCTCGAATATCTCTTCTGCTTTTAAACCATCGGAGTTTTTAACATCCCTAAGGCGTGGATGTAGGTTGTATTTTATGTACTGCAAGAACAATTATAACACGTGGAATTAGTCAAGGTGCATGCAAACTGACACGGACATCATAGTTATCAACAGGAATTGAGGAAAGAATCGTACGTTAAACCAAAGCATGCCCCACATCATCATTAACACAGCCATAACACAGCAAATACTTCTAGTATGATCTGTGGTGGTTGATGTAAAAAATGGTGTACCAACATTACTTTTATGACCTGTGGTTGATGTAGAAGATGGTGTACCAACATTACTTTTAGTAAGATCTGTGGTTGATGTAAAAAATGGTGTCCCAACATTTGCTGCATAATGCAAAATGGTATTTCCTTGTTGATCAATATCTGCCAGCATTCTGTTTTTGCTAGGCACTGTTTTGAGCAAATAATCAAATAGAAATCTGTCTTTATGCTTTGCTGCTATATGCATTATGTTCCTCCCTTTTTCATCCAAGTTTTCCACAGCTTCAGGATGCATTTGCACAATTTCAACGACTAACTCGTCGACTTTAAGTTTTGATGCTTGTATTAATGGACTTGGCACACTCTGTGTACTGTAGCTCCAATCATAATTTTTCACTAACATTTTTGCTAATATTAATGAAAGAATATGCTTTTGCTTTGCTTCGTCGATTTCTTGTAACCAGGAATTACCTAGAGAAACCAAGATACAATAATCCAAAGATTAATGCAATATTATTTAAAAGAATTAATGAAAAAAGGGGCAGCCGGTGCAGAAGGGGAGCCGGACCACAAGGGTCTATTGAACGCAGTATTACCCTGCATTTTTGCAGGAGGCTGTTTCCACGGCTCGAACCTGTGACCTCCTCACATAGCAACAACTTTACTAGTTACGCCAAGGCTCCCCTTCTTTTAAAAGAATTAATGCAATATAGAAATTCATTTCCGCCAATTGAACCTAAAAGATTCAAAATTATGGATATACCTAATAGAGACTCAGTAAATGAAAACCTCTCAACGCGGACGATTTTAGTGCCAGTTTGTGCCTGGTTACCACCAAGTTTTGATTCAATATACCGTGGTGGAATACCTGCTACCACATAAATGTAGAATTACTGTTATAACGAGTAAAGTTCAGTTACTTTAAAGCGACAAAAGAAGTTTGTAACTTCACTTTTATAATGGTTAAAAGTTAAGTTACTTAAGTTGAGCTTACAATTATAGATTATGGTTTCAATCATCTGAATTGGAACAGAAGGTGTCTTCCCTATTTCTGCAAACAAATAGTTGGATCCACTCCTGAATGACAATCTTTTTGTAGCCAACAGATTCAAAGCAGTCATTCCCTCGTTATCGCGTTCGTTAACAAGTTCAGGATATAGATTCACCAAATCAATTGCTAGAGCTGCCAGACATTAAACAAACAAAACAATTAGTCTGTGCAGCTAACAGCGCATTCTCTCAAACAATGTGGGACACTTAACACACACCCTTCCGCTTCCACACGCCAAGAACTACACATTTAGTATATGGATAACATTCTCTGGAGCTCAACATTGGGTAAACCAAGAACACATATTATGTTGAAAAGACGAATCTTGGACCTAACTTAATCCCAAAAGGTACGGGGTAAGAATTGCCTAAGACAATATAAGGAGACAATATCGTCCATTCTCTCCATTTATCCCTTTAATGCACCTTATGCAGCTCGAATCCAAATTAGTCGGGACCCTAAAACGGCTTTTGAACACCGGATGACAAACCAAAAGAAATAATTTGTTCATCAATGTAAACCTCACCATAACAATCATGGGCTACTGCTGCATGAAGTACATTTTTTCCATCTTTCCTTTTCATGGTGAGCTTATTGAAGTCGAAATTTGCCAGAAGAGTAAAGATTTCTTTCTCCCCACTTGCAGCCGCTACGTAAAGTGGTGTCTCTCCCAACTTGTTGCGCAAAAAAACTAAGTCCTTCTCCTTTCTCAAAATCATCTCCACCATATTCCTTTTACCTGTCGAAAACATAATTAAGCAAACAAAAGTGTACTCTTTTTAACAGTTTACACTTTTAGATGAGATGGTCAAACATTTTAATACGGTATCGATCAGTCTAACATAGCAGGTAGAGGTCCTGGATTCGAGTATGCTTGGGCCATGAAAAAGGAACCAAGTTCGTAAATGAGGGTGCATGCTAAGGACATTATTAAGTGTATAAAAATGTGATTTTCTCTAACAGTTTAAACTTTTAGATGAATGATCACACGTTTCAACATTACCAAATCTGGCAGCTTCATGCAACGGTGTATCTCCACAGCTGTTTGCAGTTTCCAGATCTTTAATGCTCAAAGGATCAAGAATTCCAAAACCAGCCACATTACCATTAACAGCAAGAAAATGAAGGATGGTGTCGCCACGATTATCAATCTGTGCGACGCCTTCTTCTCTCCAAAAATCGAGTAATACTGTGAGAGATTCCCCTCCTGATGATGCAGCTTTGTAAGCTGCTGATCTGCGTCTTGCTCTGGCACTGAAATCGCTCTGCATAATTGCTTTGTTTCAATTTTTGCTAATTTTGTATGATGAATGAGATTGACATGCAGCTCAAGCTAAAACAAGTTATATAGTCCTGATTTCTTATACTTCTATGCATAAATTATTATGTGTGTGTGTATGGATTTTCCCCTTTAGAAAACAAATAATGAGAATAGATTGCCCCCCAAGTAAATTCATCCCTGTATATTTGTGGAAAGCCTGAGATAAGCCATTCAAAAGTGACCCTTTTAATTGCTTCAATAATAAGCCTGTTTGGCCTAGTTTCCGCGACGCCAAAAGTGTAATAAAGGGCCGCCTGGTGCACAAGACATCCTATGTTCACACGGAGTTCGAAGAAGGGTCGCATCCCTAAGGAGTGTGATGTAGACAACCTATTCTAATACATTTTTATTTCCCCGGCTCGAACACATGACCTATACACGGGATGCCGAAAGTGTATTTCTTTTTTTATTTTTAAAAGTGAGTTATTTTAGAGAATTGAGTAGTTCCATCAAGCTTTGAGGAAAAAATAAGTGTTTTTCGGTAGTAGCGGAAGTGATTTTCTAGAAGCTGAAAAAAGTATCTTCTCCCGGCGCATTTATGGAACCTTGGTCAAAACAAATTGCTGCTCTAATATATTAAAAAAATATATTTTTCAAATTGATTAGCTAAACACAAACTTAGTTCCAAAGACCGGTGATACACAATTATGACCAGTGGCATAACCACATTCATGGAAGGTTGATCAACTGAACACCGTTCATCGAAAAAATATACTATGTATATAGAAACTTATATAACGTATATAGGTCAAAAATTATTTTTTATGTGTAGATTAAATCTTGAACACCATTCGAGAAATTCTTGGTTTCGCGACTGAATTGATGACTATTTCTCTCACCAACAACAAGATACACAAGTGACATTACTCTAGGACGAATATATGCATAGGCTGCTATAGAAAGAGATTACACTATATATCTTCTTTAGCAAAAGTTACTAAAGTTTGGTTACTAATTGGAGGAACAAAAAGAAAAGTTTACTTACACCCCACTTGCTTTTATTTATGGAAATTGTGAAAAACAACAACAATTATTAACACTTTATTCAGTTAGGGAATAAAGGGTTGCTTCTCTCTTTTCCTGATATTCCTCTAATATTCATGATCCTTATAATACTTCATACACAAGGAATGGAAATTCTAAATAATTTCAAGCTCTCTTTTTGGATGTCTATGTACTCTTCCAAGCTCTCTCTTTTCACTACTAAATAAATAGGAATTAGTGACGAACAAATTATGTACCTAAATGATGTAGGTTAAGAATCCATGTTTTAGCTATTTTGCACTTTAATTACTGTACTTTATTCGTGTCTGAGCTTAATTGCCAATGATTTGTACTTATTACGTGTGTTGTGCTTTGTGGGTATGATTCCACGTTAGGAAGCAATGCGTAAAACTAACGTAT